GGAGACGGTTTACGAGGCGGTGAACTCGGACACCGACAAGAACGAGGCTCGAAAGAGAGCCAAGAACAAGCAGCTGGGACACGAGGAGGGTGAGGAGATCAAACATGTCCATCATGCACAGATCATATATGATATGAGACATGTTGCTGAACTGCATGTATTTTGTTCCAGTTGTTGCTTTTTAAAATCAAGACAAAGCCGTAATATTCACAGAAATGTTCATTTTTTCCTATTTTAAAAATAACGTTCAATTTATTTATTTATTTATTATTAATATATATATATGTGTTATTGGTCTCGTGTGTGTGCAGACTACGCCTTTGGGAAGGACTGCATCATGCACGGCTACATGCTGAAGCTGGGGAACCCCTTCCTCACTCAGTGGCAGCGCAGATACTTCTACCTGTTCCCCAACAGGGTGGAGTGGAGGGGGGAGGGGGAGTCACGGGTGAGACACTCACTCACTCACTCACTCACTCACTCAGACACACACACTCACTCACACACACACACACACACACACACGCTCACTCACACACACACTCACGCTCACTCACACACACACTCACTCACACACACACTCACTCACACACACACACACACACACTCACGCTCACTCACAGACACACTCACGCTCACTCACACACTCACTCACACACACACTCACACGCTCACTCAGACACACACACACACACGCTCACACTCACTCAGACACACACACACACACTCACGCTCACTCACACACACACTCACGCTCACACACACTCACGCTCACTCACTCACACACGCACTCACACGCTCACTCAGACACACACGCTCACACTCACTCAGACACACACACACACACACACACACACACACACACTCACGCTCACTCACACACACACTCACTCACACACACACTCACACGCTCAGACACACACACACACGCTCACACTCACACACACACACACACGCTCACTCACACACACGCTCACACGCTCACTCAGACACACACACACACACACATACACACACACCACACACTCACACACACACACGCTCACACTCACTCAGACACACACACACACACACACGCTCACACTCACTCAGACACACACACACACACACACACACACTCACTCACACACACACTCACACGCTCACACACACACACACACTCACTCACACACACACACACACTCACGCTCACTCACACACACGCTCACACGCTCACTCACACACACACACACACACACATTCAATAAACGTTTTTTTTGGGAAACACCAACCCACACTTCATCTCTTCCACGTCCATGGTGTCACGTCCGTGTGTGTGTGTCAGTGTATGACCTGTCTGTCTGTCTGTCTGTCTGTCTGTCTGTCTGTCTGTCGCACACTGAAGGAGAAGTGGTTAAAACAGTTTAAAAAGTGGAGAAAAGGGGTGAGTGTTCACATGTAGGGTCAGTTTTAACCCCCCCCCCCCCCCCCCCCCCCCCCCTATCCACGCTGTAGAGCTGTAGCCCCCCCGCTTCACTCAGTAGTCGTTACACCCTAGATCAGAAACCCTGTATGTACAGCGTTACAGCAAAGAGACACTGCAGATAATAAGGCAAGACAGAAAAGTGGGCTTACATGATGAATAATAAACACATGTTTGTATAAAATAAGTACAAATCCATAGAAAACAATGAAATAAATTGCATTCAAATTAAGTTTCGGCATAAAATGTGAAAATAGCTGGAAATAAGGTCTTAGAACAAAACGTGACCCGTCTCTTCACTGTGTCTCAACCACAGACCTTATTTACAGATATCTTCCTAAACCCTATGGAGAGATCCCATTGGCTCTGAGACCAGGGAACAGGAAGTGGTGAAATGCTGACTCACTTCCTGGTTTTAGGACTCGTCACTGCTCCACGCTATTACTTATATAAATGATGTAACATATTCTTCCCAGTCCCCTTCCTGTGCGTTTAGGAGAACCAGTGATCAGAGGCTTTTCGTGTTGCGTGTCCCATAGTAGTAGTAGTGCTGAGTCATGATATTATGCTCCTTTCTGATTGGTCGCTTGTGTTCCAGCAAAACCTTCTGACGATGGAGCAGATCGTGACGGTGGAGGAGACGCAGATTAAAGACAAGAAGTGCATCCTGCTGCGCATCAAGGGCGGGAAGCAGTTCGTGCTGCAGTGTGAGGTACGCATCAGGGTTCATATCATCATATCATTTCATATTATTATTTATCATTATTGCAATTTTTTTAAATATTTTTAATGTAATTATTTTATTTTATTATAATATTATTATTTTTACAATTTTTTTAATCACCAAAATTGCCAAACCACTTTACCTATGTTCAGCTAATTAACACTAAGTAACGTGTGCTAATTGGATTCAAGTGTCCAATTAAATAAATCGTGTGTTTCTGTGTGTGTGTGCGTGTGTGATTCTGTGTTTCTGTGTGTGTGTGATTCTGTGTGTGTGTGATTATGTGTGCGTGTGATTCTGTGTGTGTTTCTGTGTGTGTGTGTGTGTGTGATTCTGTGTTTCTGTGTGTGTGTGTGTGTGTGTGTGTGATTCTGTGTGTGTGTGTGTGGGTGTGTGTGTGTGTGTGTAGAGCGACCCAGAGTTCGTGCAGTGGAAGAAGGAGCTGACGGAGGCGTTCACAGAAGCTCAGAAACTCCTCCGTCGCGCTCCAAAAGTCATCGGGAAGGGTCGGGCCGGAGTGGTGGAGCTCTCCAAACCCCCCCTCACACACCGCAACAGCAACGGCCTGTGAACACACACATACACACACACACACACATTAAAACACGCACACATCTACAGAAATACACCTTAACACACACACACACACTGCATCCTACACCTCCCCCTCTTTACTCATCATCATACATCTGAACACGCCTCGCAGTGTGTACGGACCACCTGCCTCACACACACACACACTTACTTACACACACACACACACAATTACTTACACACACACACACACACACACGTCGATCGACCAATCATCATTTTTTCTTCTTCGTGGGACCTCGCCAGTTTGAGAGGAGGAAGCAGCATTCAGAGGCCTCAGCATGTGAAGGACCTTCTGCATGAATGTGTCTCTCTCCATCTCCCCCTTTTCCTCCATGCCTCCCCCCCTGATGTACCTGAAAGGGGGGAGGCATCCTCTCTTTTTTTGGGATCAGCTGAGAGGGAACACCCCCCCCCCCCCTCCCTCTCTCTCCTCCCTCCTCTCTTTTCGGGAGGCAGAAAGCTTCTCCTCCTCCCTCGCTCCGTTACTGAAGTGCATAAAGTGCCAACATCAACATTTACTTGAGTCACCTGATGATGGAGGATCCCCCCCCCCCCCCCCTTAACTCCTCCCTGCAGAGAGGCGGAGCTTCATCCCAGGAAACAGGAAGTACTTTTTAAAAAAAAGTTGGCTGTTTTTTTGTTTTTTTTGTACAGCCAGTTCCCATAGAGACTGCGATCCCATTGGCTGACAGATGGGTTGCTATGGGAAACTGGGAAGGAAAAAACTGTTGACACTCGCAGCAGCAGAACAGTGTACATAACTGTGTGTGTTTCAGTGTTTACTCTTCTATGTCAGATTATTCTCATCATCTATTCATCTGCAAAACCCCATTATACAGTCGCTCTTAAAGGGACAGTACACCTTTAATACATTCTCCTCTTAGAGCTTCTAGTAAAACTACAGGGTTTTAATGAGTTGATAAATGCTTTCTCACTAATTAATGGAATTGCACGCCAAAAACAACTAAATGTATTTTTCTGGAAGCTATAATTGAATTTCTGAAGATAGTCGTTTTACGCAGGAACTACTTTCTTTCCACCGTATCACTACGCACAGAGAAGCATGCATCTCAACACAAGCAAGCGATCTAGTATATCTTCCACAATCTGCATCAAAAATCCAAATGAATTGATAGCACTAGAGTTGAAAAGAGACATTTGAATGGTTGATTTTAAGGTGTACTGGCCCTTTAAGAGTTCTTGTCTATAAGAAAGTTGCACCTGGTCGTGTTTGCAGCGTTTTCTGAATGACAAATGACTTTTAAAGATTAATGGATGATGGAAATTAATTTGGAAAAGTGTCCTGTCAATCATCCTCCAGGTTTAACGAGGAAGAGGAGAAGCTAATTAAAGGAAAAATCCACCCTAAAATGAATGAACAGAAAGGCATTTTATACTCCGCAGACTCTCCGAGGCGTTCAGGAGATTTTTTTATAATGAAGGTTTTTTTTTTTTTTTTTTGCACTCATTACCGCACACTGCCTCATCTGCATGTAGTTCTTTAAGGCCTACATTTCCCAGAATGCCTCACCTCCATTCCATTTAAGAAACAGGAAACTCCTTCATCGAGTCAGGCTGCGACTAATGTTTACTTACACACGCGTTTTCTCGATGATATGATGAAAAATGCTCGTTATAATTCAGACAAATGTAAAAAAAAAAAACACAATCTTTCAGTTTAAAAGCATTTTTCACAATAAAAGCATCAAATCTTCACATTTTAGACGCTGAATCTGCAACTAAAGACTATTATAATTACATTTCACACAATGTTTTCTTTAATATACGGAAAAATGCACGTTATAATTCCTCACAGCCGGAGTTTTATTCCACCAAAATTCAGTTTACAAAAGTTTTTCATAATAAAAGCATCAACTGAGAGGCTGCAACTAACAATAATCATAATAACTGATACATTTCCCACATTTGTTTTGTGTAATATAGTGACAAACATTATAACTCCACAAAGCCTGACATTTATTTCCAACAATTGTCAAAAATAACACAACAATTATTCAGTTTACGGCCGCTTTTCACAATAAAAGCTTCAAACCCTCACATTTTAGACGCTGAATCTGCAACTAAAGACTATTATAATTACATTTCACACAATGTTTTATTTAATATACGGAAAAATACACGTTATAATTCCTCACAGCCGAAGTTTTATTCCTCCAAATCTCCAAAAAACACCAAATTATTCAGTTTACAACCGTTTTTCACAATAAAAGCATCAACTGAGAGGCTGCAACTAACAACAATCATAATAACTGATAAGATTTCCCACATTTGTTTTGTGTAATATAGTGACAAACGTTATAACTCCTCACAGCCTGACATTTATTTCCAACAATTGTCAAAAATAACACAACAATTATTCAGTTTACGGCCGCTTTTCACAATAAAAGCATCAAACCCTCACATTTTAGACGCTGAAACCAGTGCACGAAGCAAATACAAATATATCGAGTTAGGAAACACATCAAAACAAACCCGTTATCTTCCATCAAAGAGTTTCAGGGTGGAGTTTTCCTCGACGTTTTTTTAAAAGGATTGAATTATTTCTGTTCCTAAATGTGACGCAGTTCAGAGGAGCGTTTCAAATCGGGGCTTTTTTACGATTTCTCGTCATAGTTTAACGGAAAGACGCCGCACCATCGTAGAGGAGGAGGGGGAGGAAGACGAGGAAGAGGAGGAAACTTTAATTTCAGGTTTTTCATTTGATCTCCATGCAGTGCAGTTTGTGTCGTCATGCAGTTCCAGAGCTGTGATCGTGACTTTAGGAAAAGGGTTTTGATTCGAGTGCGTTGTGATTTATTTTAGCCTTCACGCAGTCGGGTGGGGGGGGGGGGGGGGGAGGGGGGGAGAACTTATCGTCTTATAGAGAAACGCGGCCGCCTCTCCAGGTGTCTTTTTATTTTTGTAAACCAAAATGGTTTTTATTGTTTTCAATGAAATGTTATGTGGTTGCACCTTTTTTTTTTTTAGCCCGATGTGTTACTTACTAGTTGTTCAATGTGCCAAATAACTGTCTGCAGAACGAGTGGGGCCTCCTTTCTCTGGACTCTCTCTCTCACACACACACACACACACACACACACACACACACACACACACACACACACACACACACACACACACACACACACACACACACACACACACACACACACACACACACACACACACACACAGGGTGCAAAACTGTGACCAAACAGGGAAGAAATGTGTGTGTAAGTGTGTGTCCGCTCTAAAAAGTCTCCTCACGCTGTGTGTACTTTGTGAGTGTGTGTGCTTCATTCTCAGTCTATTATTTCGGATCCTCTGCTCACACACAGACACACTCTTAGACTCACACACACACTCACACAGACACACACACAGGGTGCAAAACTGTGACTAAACGGAGAATAAATGTGTGTAAGTGTGTTTGTAAATGTGTGTGTAAGTGTGTTTCTGCTCCAAGAAGTCTCTTCTCATGCTGTGTGTGTGTGCTTCATTATCTCTATTATTTCAGATTCTCTGCTCACACAGACACACACACACAAAGACACACACACTCACACACACAAAGACAGACCCACACACTCACACACACACTCACACACACAAAGACAGACCCACACACTCACACACACACTCACACACACAAAGACAGACCCACACACTCACACACACAAAGACAGACCCACACACACACACACAGGGTGTAAAACTGTGACCAAACAGAGAAGAAATGTGTGTGTAAGTGTGTGTCCGCTCTAAAAAGTCTCCTCTCACGCTGTGTGTACGTTTGTAAGTGTGTGTGTTGTGAGTGTGTGTGCGCTTCATTATGTCTATTAGTTTGGATCCTTTGCTCACACACACTTACACACTTACACACACACACACACTCGCAGACCCACACACAGTCATGCTCAGACTCACACACACACACACACAGGGTGCAAAACTGTGACCAAACAGAGAAGAAATGTGTGAGTGTGTGTGCTTCATTCTCAGTCTATTATTTCGGATCCTCTGCTCACACACACTTACACACTCATACACTCATACTCAGACTCTCACACACACACACTCACACACACACACACACACTCATACTCAGACTCTCACACACACACACTCATACACTCATACTCAGACTCTCACACACACACACACACACACACACTCATGCTCAGACTCTCACACACACACACACACAGGGTGCAAAACTGTGACCAAACGGAGAAGAAATGTGTGTGTGCTTCATTCTCAGTCTATTATTTCGGATCCTCTGCTCACACACACTTACACACACACACACTCATACTCAGACTCTCACACACACACACTCACACACACACACACACGCTCAACAATGAAAAAGACAAAAAAAAGGAGGGCATATAGGAAAAAAAACTCAAAGTATATATAAATATATGTGTATATGAAATGACAAAATGCTCTAGGTTTATTTAAAAGATTTAATGTAGAAACATCGGGGGGGGGGGGTCCATGTGAGTTTAACTGTTTGTGGTGAAGACTTCGGCTCAAATCTTGCACATAAAGACTTTAGATATTGTACCTGCGAGTTCCAGATGATTATTTTTGTTTAATACAGGACTCTTTCTCTTTCATATTTATTGCGCGAGTCTCCGCCGCGTTATTAAAAAAAAAAAAAAGTTCCTCTGGTTCACAAGCTCCGCCCACAAACACAAATACTACTGGCTTATGGGTTTATTATTATTGCCATTAAAAGGGTATGATAGTACTGATATGTAATTGATAATATTATTCAATGATTACGATTGAATTTATTTTTGTTCAGATGATTTGATCTTTCTGTTTGTTTGGAGGCAGGTAGGACGCCGCGTGTTGGACTGCTTGTAAAATCAGTTCATGAATAAAAATCCTTTTTCCGTGTTGCTTCCTGTCAAACTGTGATTTTGTGGAATTAAATGTAATATTTTTTTACTAATGTCAATTTTAAATTATATATTATGTCTTGCATGTTTGTTTCTTTTTAAAATATTGTTTTTTTTACATTTTCTGAAGGTTTTTATATTTTATCGTCCGTAAAATGTGAGTTTATTTTTCATTCAGTGGTGGGAAATACACATTTACTCAAGTACAACTTTAAGGTATACTTTTGAATGTTAAAGCATGGATTTATATCACAGTAGAGCCACTAAATATAGTATTAGGAAAGTGTATAGTATGCTACCTTATACTTTAACTTTACTCCAATTCAGAGGCAAATATTGCTTTATTGATCAAAAAACGTGCGTTAATTTGCAGATTAAAACAAGATTATTTAGTGAATCAATTATGATTATGGCTTCTTAAATTCATTTAAATGACCTCTACCTTGATTAGCTGCAGCATTAAATAATATAATGTACTTTATTCTGTACATATGTATACTTTGCTGCTAAAAAAACATTTTAAATGCAGGATTTTTAGCAGGAATTACTTACTATTTTATGATTTAAATCACCAAAAAGCAAGGTTTCTTACATTAAAATCAGTTAAAATGCATATATTGATACAAATCTGTCACAAAAGGTGCATAAAAGTTGAATTTCATCAAGCACAATTGAGTGTTAAGGGTTTAATTATCTCCAAATTTGATCAAAATGGGTCCAAAGTAGCCAATATAAGGCTTAGTCATCTTGCCAAATAGTGAGCCCACATTTATCTGTACTGCTAAATCTTGGCTACCTAGCTTACTTATGGCGCATTTCCATTGCAGCGCGTAGCTCGCTTTAAGCGTGCCGTGTCGTGCCGTCCCCTTTTTTGGTTGTGCTTCCACTAGGCCTCGTTCCGGCGCGGCACGGCGCGGGGCCACTTTTTCCCCTCTTTTCTGGCCCTAGAAAATTGTGGTTCTATCGGGGCCAACAAGCAGGGCTGAGTCGGGCTGAGTATGCTAAACTAGAGAGAGGAGCGCTGGCAAGAGGGCTAGAACTACAACAAGATGGACATATTTGACCGTGATTTAATTGTAATACACGTTTCAAAATGATGCCGAAGTAACTACTGATAGCGGTTAGTAAAAACCATGAATTAATGCTTTGTCAAGTCTGCAGACAGACGGCAGGCGAAACACCTTTTAAAATTCGTGTTTTTCTAGATGGAGATTGGCTAAGCTAACGCAGTATATGCCCCGACCGTCCACACTCACAACGGCCTATACAGACATAAATAAAGCAGCGACTGTATTCACCATGACACAGGCAGTCTGTGGTGTGTACTTGTTTAACTTTTGTCGAGTTTCTGAACAGATATGAGGAGCTGTGAGCTCTGAGTGCTAACAGCTAACGGCTGTGTTGTGTTTCTGGATTTCTCATTGAAGATGACGTCACGGCTCCGCCTACACTGCGTTACTATAGTAACTACCCCAGTTCCTAAACTGTAATGGAAGCGCAGCATGAAGTGAGTCGGCCCTGTTAAGGCCCAACGCGGCCAAGCCGTACCGAGCCGTACCGAGTGTGGCCGAGGCCGACCGTGTAGTGGAAATGCGCCATTAATCTCCTTCATCAGCTAGCATCCTTGGTATCTGTTGTTCACTGAGTTGATTCTCGCTAAGTAGCCAATATAAGGCTCCCTTTTGGCAACTATAAATGTTAGTAACTCGTAAATAAATGGTCATAAAGAGGATGGATGGGGGGGAGAATCAACTCAGCGAGCAACAGATACCAAGGATGCTAGCTGATGAAGGAGACGAAGTAAGCTAGGTAGCCAATATAAGGCTTAGCAGTACAGATACATATGGGCTCACTATTTGGCAAGATGACTAAGTCTCATATTGGCTACTTGGCTTACTTCGTCTCCTTCATCAGCCAGCATCCTTGGTATCTGTTGCTCACTGAGTTGATGCTCGCTAAGTAGCCAATATAAGGCTTAGTCATCTTGCCAAATAGTGAGCCTGTGTTGATGTATGAAAACTATGTTAGAACTGGTTTATAAATGGTTCTTAATGAATGTTATGAATCCTTTCTAAGGGTAGACTTATTGTAAAGTGGTACCCACAATTAAACTTCCAAAGTGTTTAATACCAGTGAGAAATTAAATTAAATGTGGTTGTTTTCCTCCGATATTCCAGGTGTTTGTGTCCTCTTAAACTGAGCAGGTATCACCAGAAGAGAAACCATCAAAAAGTGAGTGGGATTAAATGTGAAGTTACAGTACTTTACTTTATTTAATTAACGCTAAATCTACAATTAAACATCACATGACATACTTAAAACATATTAGACATTAAAGGTCACCTATCATGCTATTTTTAGGCAATAGCATAGGTCTCAGATATATACAAATATATAAAAAACATGTCTATGAAGTGTTTTGCTCAAAACACCAAACAGATCACCCATTCTAGCCATGCCTCATATCCCTCTATTTCACTTCCTGTTTCAAAAGTGCTGATTTGGGGGATAAAGCTTTACAAAATAAAAAAGGAGGGGTCTGAGCTCATGCGGGACCCGGCAGCTACTGTCTAAACTAAATGCTGCCGTGATGAAACGCCATATCATGGATTATCAAGGATTCTCTCTGAAACAGTATGGAGCTCAAAGGCTTTCTCTCTTGCCGGTTATACCACAAGGTGAGTTCCTTTTTATTTCCTGCTTCTTCACACACATGCTCTCCAGTACAGGTTAGCTCTGAGTGTTAGCCATGCTAATGTAAACACAGACCATATTACGTCCAATACAGTCGGGCATTGTTTCTGATAGCAACGTTTCTGATAGGGCCGTGGGTCCACATTTCAGATATTACGTCATATCGGACGCAAATCTGGATCAGCTCCGTTGTTCCCCCGTTTTTAGAGATTTGGGTACGGAGGAAAAGAGAGAGGGTTTTATTTTCTGACGCTGCGTGAGTTCCCTGACACACCGGGGACACATGTTGATGTAGAGAAGACATCAAAAAGTGCATTTTGCATGATAGGTCCCCTTTAAGAAATGTTTACAGATTCAAAGAGACACTAAGAAGAAATGAATTCATTGCTTTCAGATATTTAGTCATTTTAAAATGTTATTATTAATGTAGAGATACATTATTTTAGAAATGAGTCATTTTGAAGTCTGTATTTTTAGATACTTAGACATTTTAAGAGACACTTAGTTCTTATTGGAGATATTGAGTCACTATTAAAGCTATCAGTCATTCCTTTAAGATGTCAGTAAGTATTTTTAGATATTTAGTCATTACTTTGAGTAAATAATTCATTAAGAGACACTGATGTCTGTATTTGGAGATACTACTGTAAGTCACTATTTTTAGATAGTAAACCATTAGTTTGACAGACTTAGTCATTATTTTAAATATAAGTCATTATTCTCAGATGTTATTTCGAGATACCAATTAGATATTTTAAAACACTGAGTCATTGTAATGAACTCTCTTTCGTCCCAAGCCTCAGATTTATTATTATTATTAATATGAGCGATCAGATTTTTCTGGCACAAAATGGCCGCCATACATCACTTACTCTCAAAATAATACGTGTTTATATTTTCATATATCAACATATATTTCTAGTGTGACCCCCCCTCTCTCCCCCTCTCAGAAATCAGCCTCTCCCCCTCCCCTCCCTCAGCTGCAGCTGTCAATCACACTGAACAGCTGACTGCAGATCTGCACATGTGCGGAACAGCCTGCGTCCATTATACACACACACACACACACACACACACACACACACACACACACACACACACACACACACACACACACACACACACACACTCCAGGAAAACAAGCCTCAGCTAAAAGTCTCAGTTAGAGTAAAACCTGTTGTTTTTTTTCATGACGAAAGTGGTTTTAAATTACCTTTATTGACACAAACAAATCTGACGTTACTAATCAACTAAAAAACACAAAAAACTGTAATAAATACACATTTTTTTAAAGCAATTTTAGTGGAAACTTAACGAGCAATCACATTGACTTCTACATTTTCTCATTGCTTTAAAACCCACTTAATTTCCCCCTTAGATTCCAGGTATTTCTGTACATTTCCCAGCATATATTAACCCTTTATTTCCCTCTCTTTTCTAAACCACACGCAGGATATTCATACTGTGTGATGGAGGTGGTTTAAATAACCTTTATTGACACAAACACATCTGACACTATAAAGCAGAAAGCCCAACTTTAATAATAAAAACACATTTTTTTAAAGCAATTTCAGTGGAAACTTCTTAATGTTCTCAGTTCTTTAAAACCCACTTAATTTCCCCCTTAGATTCCAGGTGTTTCTACACATTTCCCAGAATATATTAACCCTTTATTTACCTCTCTTTTCTCCAAACCACTTACATATGTATTCATTTTTTTCCTCTCACTTCACATCATTTCTCTCTTCTGGTCGTCTGGTATCAACAGGCTCGTTTGACCCCCCCCCCCCCTCTCTCTCTCTCTGTCTAAAGATATTTATAGAGGCGTCGTCTGTCAGTGTTTCTTATCACTGATTGGCTGCAGACCCCCCCCCCAAAAAAACCCTCTATTTCTGTCTCTGTGCTGCATTCACTCTGTCCTGAGTGAGTCAGTGGGGGTGTTTGTGTGTCGGTGGGATTTCTCACTTTTCCGTGTTTTGGATATTTTTTTCAGCTTTTTTAAAGGTAAGAGTTTGTTTTCTGTCTTGTGTTGGTCCCTTAGAGGTTTATTTGTGTTTATGGGTTATTTTAGGGGGTTAAACTGAGTGAAGGCCTGACGGAGGCCTAAAGGAGCCGGGGGGGGGGATTTCAATTTGACTTTGGCTACAGACAGAATCAGAACAAATAAGAAAAGTACTCTTGTGCTTTAGTAGAAGTACTCAGATGTTGTACTTGAGTAAAGGTAGAAGTACTCAGATCTGGTTCTTGAGTAAAAGTAGAAGTACTCAGACCTTGTACTTGAGTAAAAGTAGAAGTACACAGATCTTGAACTTGAGTAAAAGTAGAAGTACTCAGAGATCTTGTGCTTGAGTAAAAGTAGAAGTACTCAGATCTTGTACTTTAGTAAAAGTAGAAGTACTCTGATCTTGTACTTTAGTAAAAGTAGAAGTACTCTGATCTTGTACTTTAGTAAAAGTAGAAGTACTCTGATCTTGTACTTTAGTAAAAGTAGAAGTACTCAGATCGTGTGCTTGAGTAAAAGTAGAAGTACTCAGATCTTGTACTTGAGTAAAAGTAGAAGTACTCAGATCTTGTAATTGAGTAAAAGTAGAAGTACTCAGATCTTGTACTTCAGTAAAAGTAGAAGTACTCAGATCTTGTAATTGAGTAAAAGTAGAAGTATTCAGATCTTGTACTTGAGTAAAAGTAGAAGTACTCAGATCATGTACTTGAGTAAAAGTAGAAGTACCAGAGTGTAGGAATACTCTGTTACAGTAAAAGTCCTGCATTCAAAATGTTCCTCAAGTGAAAGTAGAAAAGTATTATCATCAAAATATAGTGAAAGTAGCGACAGTAAAAGTAGTCATTGTGCAGATTGGTCCATTTCAGAATAATATATATGATATGTTTTATAATGATTGATCATGAAAGTGTTCTCAAAGCTGGTAAAGGTGCAGCTAGTTTGAATGACTTTGTATACTGCAGGGTAGCTTGTGGATTTACTCCAGGTGGAACTAAAGTCTGATTTAACACTTGAATATATTTCACATCATTCATCCACATCTGTGAAGTAACTAAAGGTATAAATGCATGTAGTGGAGTAGAAGTACACCATGTACCTCTGAACTGTAGTGGAGTAGAAGTATTAAGTAGCATGACATGATGCTTAAGTAAAGAACATAAACCCGGCTCAGGACGATTGGTTTTTATCGTTGATTATCTTTCAAATGGAACATTAATTCCTCCTCTTGGGTCATAAATATAAAACTGCTCGATCATGTGGTTAACCCACAGTGTAAATCAAGTACTGAAGATAACTGGATGTCACTTAAACGTTAACAAATATGTATTTAAAGTGTTTTTTGTGTGTTTTTGTGTCCTGGTTGTGGAGTTGTTTACAGGGCGTTATATGTGAGACGGACTGTGACCCAGATTTAAATGCAGTGTATTACAGAGAGACATGCCACTGAAATGAGACAAATATTGAAATTGAAACAGTTTAAATCTCCACAGCTCAGCCCCCAAATATAGAAGAGAGTTCACAAACGAACACAACAATATATATAACAAAATGATATATGACTAGTGTCTTACTAATATTCCTATTTCTCCATGTTGTTTCTCCTCCTGCTTTAGACTCTGAAACTGATCTTAGTTACGCCATCTTGAAGGATGTTTATATTCCTGAAAGGCAACTCGAGGAGCGAGTGGAGGGAAGTCTCTACTTTAAAGAGTCCTCTCCTTCTGATGTTCAGGTGTATATCAGTATGTAGTGTCTCTACTTTAAAGAGTCCTCTCCTTCTGATGTTCAGGTGTATATCAGTATGTAGTGTCTCTACTTTAAAGAGTCCTCTCCTGCTGATGTTCAGGTGTATATATCAGTATGTAGTGTCTCTACTTTAAAGTAGTCCTCTCCTGCTGATGTTCAGGTGTATATCAGTATGTAGTGTCTCTACTTTAAAGAGTCCTCTCCTGCTGATGTTCAGGTGTATATATCAGTATGTAGTGTCTCTACTTTAAAGAGTCCTCTCCTGCTGATGTTCAGGTGTATATATCAGTATGTAGTGTCTCTACTTTAAAGAGTCCTCTCCTGCTGCTGTTCAGGTGTATATCAGTATGTAGTGTCTCTACTTTAAAGAGTCCTCTCCTGCTGATGTTCAGGTGTATATCAGTATGTAGTGTCTCTACTTTAAAGAGTCCTCTCCTGCTGATGTTCAGGTGTATATCAGTATGTAGTGTCTCTACTTTAAAGAGTCCTCTCCTGCTGATGTTCAGGTGTATATCAGTATGTAGAGTCTCTACTTTAAAGAGTCCTCTCCTGCTGATGTTCAGATGTATATCAGTATGTAGTGTCTCTACTTTAAAGAGTTCTCTCTTGCTGATGTTCAGGTGTATATCAGTATGTAGTGTCTCTACTTTAAAGAGTCCTCTCCTGCTGATGTTCAGGTGTATATCAGTATGTAGTGTCTCTACTTTAAAGAGTCCTCTCCTGCTGATGTTCAGGTGTATATATCAGTATGTAGTGTCTCTACTTTAAAGAGTCCTCTCCTGCTGATGTTCAGGTGTATATCAGTATGTAGTGTCTCTACTTTAAAGAGTCCTCTCCTGCTGATGTTCAGGTGTATATCAGTATGTAGTGTCTCTACTTTAAAGAGTCCTCTCCTGCTGATGTTAAGGTGTATATCAGTATGTAGTGTCTCTACTTTAAAGAGTCCTCTCTTCTGATGTTCAGGTGTATATCAGGTATGTTAGTGTCTCTACTTTAAAGAGTCCTCTGCTGCTGATGTTCAGGTGTATATCAGTATGTAGTGTCTCTACTTTAAAGAGTCCTCTGCTGCTGATGTTCAGGTGTATATCAGTATGTAGTGTCTCTACTTAAAGAGTCTCTCCTGCTGATGTTCAGGTGTATATCAGTATGTAGTGTCTCTACTTTAAAGAGTCCTCTCCTGCTGATGTTCAGGTGTATATCAGTATGTAGTGTCTCTACTTTAAAGAGTCCTCTCCTGCTGATGTTCAGGTGTATATCAGTGTGTAGTGTCTCTACTTTAAAGAGTCCTCTCCTGCTGATGTTCAGGTGTATATCAGTATGTAGAGTCTCTACTTTAAAGAGTCCTCTCCTGCTGATGTTCAGGTGTATATCAGTATGTAGTGTCTGTACTTTAAAGAGTCCTCTCCTGCTGATGTTCAGGTGTATATCAGTATGTAGTGTCTCTACTTTAAAGAGTCCTCTCCTGCTGATGTTCAGGTGTATATCAGTGTGTAGTGTCTCTACTTTAAGAGTCCTCTCCTGCTGATGTTCAGGTGTATATCAGTGTGTAGTGTCTCTACTTTAAAGAGTCCTCTCCTGCTGATGTTCAGGTGTATATCAGTATGTAGTGTCTCTACTTTAAAGAGTCCTCTCCTGTTGATGTTCAGGTGTATATCAGTACGTAGTGTCTCTACTTTAAAGAGTCCTCTCCTGCTGATGTTCAGGTGTATATCAGTATGTAGTGTCTCTACTTTAAAGAGTCCTCTCCTGCTGATGTTCAGGTGTATATCAGTACGTAGTGTCTCTACTTTAAAGAGTCCTCTCCTGCTGATGTTCAGGTGTATATCAGTATGTAGTGTCTCTACTTTAAAGAGTCCTCTCCTGTTGATGTTCAGGTGTATATCAGTACGTAGTGTCTCTACTTTAAAGAGTCCTCTCCTGCTGATGTTCAGGTGTATATCAGTATGTAGTGTCTCTACTTTAAAGAGTCCTCTCCTGCTCATTATCAGGTGTATCAGTATGTAGTGTCTCTACTTTAAAGAGTCCTCTCCTGATGATGTTCAGGTGTATATCAGTATGTAGTGTCTCTACTTTAAAGAGTCCTCTCCTGCTGATGTTCAGGTGTATATCAGTATGTAGTGTCTCTATTTTAAAGAGTCCTCTCCTGCTGATGTTCAGGTGTATATCAGTCTGTAGTGTCTCTACTTTAAAGAGTCCTCTCCTGCTGATGTTCAGGTGTATATCAGTATGTAGTGTCTCTACTTTAAAGAGTCCTCTCCTGTTGATGTTCAGGTGTATATCAGTATGTAGTGTCTCTACTTTAAAGAGTCCTCTCCTGCTGATGTTCAGGTGTATATCAGTATGTAGTGTCTCTACTTTAAAGAGTCCTCTCCTGCTGATGTTCAGGTGTATATCAGTGTGTAGTGTCTCTACTTTAAAGAGTCCTCTCCCGCTGATGTTCAGGTGTATATCAGTATGTAGTGTCTCTACTTTAAAGAGTCCTCTCCTTTAATGTTCAAAACGCTCTGTTGTGATTGGTCAACTGCTTACAGATGTCCCGCCCCTTAGTGTTTGTGTGTAATATCTTGATGTGTAGCGTTGACATGTTTTTCCGTTTAACTCAGATTTGACATGTTTCCTCATCTTCAGTTTGATCTTCCTCTCTCTCTCTCTCTCTCTCTCTCTGTCAGGTTGTTTGTGTTTCCTGCACACACACACCTCCACTCTGACATCACTTCCTGTTGTGACCCCCCCACACTGACCCCCCACCCTGATTAAAGATGGCGCTGTCTTCACGGTTAAAACTGTGGGAGCAGAAGGGAGGTGCAGAGATGCTGCGTTTCACTAACATCTAATATATCATCCTCACTGCACGTGCGTGTGCGTGTGTGTGTGTGTGTGTGTGTGTGTGTGTGTGTGTGTGTGTGTGTGTGTGTGTGTGTTAATATTCAGGACAAGGAACATTTAATTACAATCACAGACGACAACATGTTCAAGTGTTTTACCGTACACTTAATCTGGGATCAAACTGTGTATTTAATTTAGATTGACTTCAATCTAACTATTATATCAAAGTATTACTTTGTTCACGTATTACTTTGGAAGTTTTTCACATAATCTTGCCAGAAATGTTCACGTTTGTTTTTGGCTTTTTTAATGAAATGTTTCAAGGCAAGGCAAGGCATATTTTAGGGTACTTTTTCAGACATTTTTATACATATTTCATTTATTTTTCACATATGTTTGGGACTTATTCTTTCATACATTTCTTCAAAAGGTTTTCAGACTTAATTCCCATATTTTAGGAGATTTTCCCTTTTTTCCTGTTAGCATGTTCCTGTTAGCATGTTCCTGTTAGCATGTTCTGCTGTTTGAGGCTTTGCTCATCTCACCTCCTTTATTTACTGTTGACTAGTTGAACCCGCAGTAATGCATCGTATTCTATAATAATAATAACACAAGGGATTTGTATAGCACTTTCCCTAATGCTCAAAGACGCTTATATATATATATATATTTTTTAATATGTAAAAAAGAGAGAAGATGAATATTAACTATGATACTTATGTGAATGTGTGCAAACTAAAACCCTGCATGTTCTCTGTTGTTTGGTTCATGTTCTGCTGTGTGTGTGTGTGTGTGTGTGTGTGTGTGTGTGTGTGTGTGTGTGTGTGTGTGTGTGTGTGTGTGTGTGTGTGTGTGTGTGCACAGCCACAGTGACGGTGTGTGTGTGTGTGCACAGCCACAGTGACGGTGTGTGTGTTTGCTCCACAGATAAAGGAGGAGAAGACCCCGGTGGCGGCGGCTGAACCGCCCCCCCCCCTGAGCGCCGTGCCGGGGGGGTTCCTCAAACAGCTGGTCCGAGAAACTGAGAAGGAGACGAAGCTCAAAGAGCCCGAGAGCAAAGAGGAGCGGCCGGTGAGGGAGACGCACTTTCATTTAAACTTAGATTCAGACGATCGAGAAATGTGAAAAAAGTCTGAAAGAATATCAAGAAAAAAGTCTGAAAAAATGTATTTAAAAAAGTTGAAGAATTTCATAAAAAAAAGGCCAAAAACAAATGTGAAACATTTCTGGAAAAATATTATTAAGAAAGTCTGAAAAATACCCAAAGAAATGTGGAAAGGGTCTGGAAGAAATACCCTAAAAGTGTCTGATAAAATAGCCTACAAAAAGTGGAAAAGGTCTGAAAAAATATCATTAAAAAACTGATGTGAAAAACGTCCAAAGTAATAATATGATATCAGAGTTAGAGAAGCTTTGGAGCAGATAGTTCTCTTCCAGAACGTTTCTGAACTTATTTTTAGCTGTTTTTTGTTTTTCGTCCAGATTTCTTTGAACAAAACATATTTTCTTCGTCTCTCTGCAGCCGAACAAGCTGAGTGATAACCTGGTGCAGCAGTTCCTCCTCCCCGACGAGACCCCCCCCATCCTGGAGGCCGAGATGATGCTTCTGAACAGCAAACAGAACGAGAACCAGACTCAGAACCAGACTCAGAACCAGACTCAGAACCTGACTCAGAACCAGACTCAGAACCAGACTCAGAACCAGACTCAGACCCAGAGGCAGTTATTATCTCCTGACCCTGGACACAGCAAGCAGGAAGTCAGACAGGAAGCAGCAGCAGCAGAGACGACGAAACAGCAAGTGGAGATGAAGCCAGAGAAGAAGAAGATACCGGAGATGAAGAAGAAGAGGGTGGAGGAGGTGAAAAAGGAGGAGAAAAAGGGGGAGAAAGAGGAGAAAAAGGGGGAGAAAGAGCAGCGTCAGGAGCCAGAAGGGAGGCCGGATGACTCATCTGTTACCGAGCAGAACAGGAAGGAGGTGAGTCTGCAGGAAAATCAGTATTAAGACGCAAAGAAACTACTTCCTGTTGCATTGAGTGGCTTTAAAGTGTCATTGTTATTGTTATGGTGGCACACATTGTCCTTATTTGGTTCGAAAAATGTAAAATAAGCAAGTGACATTGATCTTCTTATCTGCATTTACCCAGACAAAAAGAATATATTTAAATATTCCTCAACCTTTAGGGGAGTCTGAGATGCACCGGGAATAATTTGAGACGTTTAAACGTTATTAAATCCTAAAACATATTTAGACAAAGTGTAACTATACTTGCATTTAGTGGCTTTAAATGTAATTATTGTCATATTATCTATTTCTATAACATACATTTTAAATTGCATCGAACATTTCCATCTTCTTCTCTAACTTTCTCAGAAACATGATTAAGGATAAGCACTGTGTCTAATTTAATAATGGCGCATTTCCACTGCAGCGCGTAGCATGGTTAAAGCGTGCCGTGCCAAACCCGGCCCGTTTTTGGTTGCGTTTCCACTAGGCGTAGTTCCGGGTACTTTTTCACCTTTTTTCTGGCTCTCCAAAATCGTGGTTCTTTCCGGGCCAACAGCCGGGCTGAGTATGCTAAACTAGAGAGAGAATCGCTAGCAAGGGGGCTACAACTACAACAAGATGAACATATTTGACCGTGATTTAATTGTAATACACGTTTCTAAATGATGCCGAAGTAACAACATACTGATACCGGTTAGTAACAACCATGAATTAATGCTTTGTCAAGTCTGCAGACAGACGGCAGGCGAAAAACCTTTTAAAATGTGTGTTTTCTAGATGGAGATTGGCTAAGCTAACGCAGTATATGCTCCGACCGTCCACACTCACAACAACGGCCTATACAGACATAAATAAAGCAGCGACTGTATTCACCATGACACAGGCAGTCTGTGGTTTGTACTTGTTTAACTTTTGTCGAGTTTCTGAACATATATGAGGAGCTGTGAGCTCTGAGTGCTAACAGCTAACGGCTGTGTTGGTTTTGTGTTTCTCATATAAGATGACGTCACGGCTCCGCCTACACTGCGTTACTATAGTTACTGCCGCAGCTACTAAACTGTAATGGAGACACAGCATAAAGTGAGCCTGGCCTAACAAGGCCTAACTATACCGTACTAAGCCGTGCGAGGCCCTGCAGTGGAAATGCGCCATATGTACCTATTGCATTGTATTTTTGAGTGCAATAACAATATTTCAGAGCTTGCATTACTAGTCACTTTTAATTTTTGCATCCAATTAATATTTTAAGCACATTTGTTTATCTAGTGATACTTCTGTCATTGTATTTTCTTAATGCAAATAGGTTTAATGTATTGATTCCTCTATGGTTTGCAAATAGACACTGACAAAATGTGAATATTATTGGGTGGAAATCTCCAGAATCAAAGTTATAATGGCAGCTTTTTTCATGCTAGATTCATATCTCACAGATAATACAAAATATTAATATCCTGTTTCATCTTTTGTCTTTTCTTCAGGTGAGAGATGTTTGGTATGAAGCAGGAACCGTGTGGTACGTCCACAAAGACGGGTACACACTGGGTGAGTCATCAAAACACACACACATATTTGATGTACTGTAATGTGTGTATGTGTGTGTGTGTGTGTGTGTGTGTGCGTGTGTGTGTGTGTGTGTGCGTGTGTGTGTGTGTGTGTGTGGTGTGTGTGTGTGTGTGTGTGTGTGTGTGTGTGTGTGTGTGTGTGTTAGTCCTCTGTTAATCCTCTCAGTCTGCAGTAATCTTTATTACCTTCATATCATGCAGCATATTAAACTCAATATGCTGCTCCACTTCCATCTGCTCATTCATCCATTAAAGCCCTTACTGTAAATGATCCACACACACACACACACACACACACACACACACACACACACACACACACACACACACACACACACACACACACAATACAAATAACTAAATTATAATTTCAAAATGACATTTAAGATCAAAATCAACAAATGAAATGTTTATCAAATTAGACCTCTATATGAAAAATATTTGAAATAATGTGAAGAAAATTCAGCAAACTTGAGAAGCTGAAAATGTTTTGAAAATAACATGAAAAATGTGTAAAATTATATAAAATATATATATGTTTTTTGTCAATCCATTACAGTAATTGCCTTTGATTTTGAATGCAAAAATCTTACGTTTAAAATGTGTAAAATAACTCTCAACTGTAGTGGAATTAATTATATAATATATTAATAATAATATATATATAAAAATGTTATTAAATACACTCAAAATATAATCAATTGATATTGACAAGACATTTCTACAGGTGACCGGTCACTACATTTGCCGTTAGCTGTTATCTTCGATGCAGATTAATTATTATTGTTATTGTTATTATTGTTCTCTGATTGGTTCCAGCCACGCAGCTGAAGCCTGATGAAGGGACTCCTGAACTCCCAGAAGGCCGAGCGAGAGTCAAACTGCAGACGGACGGATCTCTGCACGACGTCACGGAGGACCAAATCCAGAAGGTGAGTCTGGATCTAAATGTTAACATGTTTATATCTTTCAGAGGTGGGAAGTAGTGGAGTACAAATACTTTGTTACTGTACTTAAGTACATTTTTCTGGTATCAGTACTTTACTCCACTACTTATTTTTCTGACGACTTTTTACTTTGACTTCTTACATGTTGAACATAAATACCTGTACTTTCTACTTCTTACATGTTGAACACAAATACCTGAACTTTCTACTTCTTACATGTTGAACCCAAATACCTGTACTTTCTACTTCTTACATGTTGAACACAAATACCTGTACTTTCTACTTCTTACATGTTGAACACAAATACCTGTACTTTCTACTTCTCACATTTTCCAAACAGGCTGGTTCCTTTAGTTTGAATGTGTGTTTGGTGGCGTGATCATTATTATTTAGAGTCATTGCGTGCCTATTGATTTGAACACGATCCGTGTATCCATCATTTCCTGGTCTTCTCTAAAGAAGAGGGACCAATGGAAACGTTGTCATGTTGCCGTTGTTCAGCATGGAAACATTCATTAGCTAACAATGACATTATTGTTCTATTAATATAAAGGGAGGTCAGGTACTCTTTAAAACAGCTGCTAGTTATGGGTACTTTTTACTGAAGTACATTTCAAAGCCCTCTTTACTTTGACTTGAGTAAAGAAGTTTAGTCAGTACTTCTACTTTCACCAGAGTACTTTTAAACACAAGTATCTGTACTTCTACTTTCACCAGAGTATTTTTAAACACGAGTATCTGTACTTCTACTTTCACCAGAGTATTTTTAAACACGAGTATCTGTACTTCTACTTGAGTAAAGGATGTGTGTACTTTGCCATCTCTCCAGGTGAACCCTTCAGAGATGGATCTGTGTGAGGACCTCAGTGATCTGCAGAGTGTGAACGAGTCCTCAGTTCTTCACACTCTGAGCTGCAGAGCCAGAAACAACCAGCCGCTCACACACTCCGGACCTAACATCATCAACCTGTGGCCCCCCATACACAGCAAGGTACACACACACACACACACACACACACACACACACACACACACACACACACACACACACACACACACACACACACACACACACACACACACACACACACACACACACACACACACACACACACACACACACACACACACACACACACACACACACACACACACACACACACACACACACACACACTCAGGGCAAAACCTCGTCGAATTTACATTTTATATTTATTCTTTAATTTTCTTACAAAACCCAATTCATCCCTGAATAATAAATAAATCCTGATCATGAAATCCTCTCTTCTCTCAGACCCCGAAGTCTCGTCGGGGGGAGTGTGTGTGGGACGCCCCCCCTGCGCTCTCCTCTCTGGTGAAGAGTGTGTACGTGTCGATGGTGGGGACGCGCAGAGACCACAGTGTGTGTGTGTTGGGTCGCAGCGGGACGGGGAAGACCTCGACCAGTCAGAGCTTCACCCTCGCTCTGCTGAGGCAGGCCGGGACCACCGGGGGCAAAGTCACACGTGAGTGGATACGCTTTTTAAAAATGTTTTTATTTATTTACTTACTTACTTACTTTACTGACTTACTCACACTTAGTGCTAACCTTATTTTTTTAACCCTTTCCCCCAGTGGAGCGAGTGCAGGCCATGTTCACGGTCCTCCGGTCGTTCGGATGTGTTTCTTCTCCTCACAGCGACGCCTCCACTCGATTCGCCTCCGTTTTCTCTCTCGACTTCAACCACGCAGGACAGGCAGCGGCCGGACACCTACAGGTGGATATAACACAGAGAGACACACTTAAAGGTCCCCTATTATACTGTCTTTCATCAATATATCACAGGTCTCAGATATATATATAGATATATCCAGAGCCTGTCTCTGATTGGCTGAAACACCAAAGAGATCATTGCAGCATTACCCATAATCCCCTCTGTTTCAGCCCTGTTTCCAAAGTGCTGATTCTCTGTCTGTTACTTTAGATGAAAATAAGGAGCCCCTCCCCACGCCCCTCTGAGAGAGATTTGGTTACAAAGAACTCAATGGTGCTCTAGGAGGAGATTCAGGTGATAAGGGGGGGGGGGGTTACCTTGGTTGCTGATTGGCTAATGGTTACACAAGACAACACATCGTGATGACATCATCAAGTGGCCAAAATCTGATCAGCTCATTTTCAGACAGGTTTTTATAGAAATGGATCAGGAGAAAAAGAGAGAGAATCTTTGTTCCTGAAACTTTCAGAGTCTCTTTCCACAGAGAAGACATGAAAAAGTGGATTTTGCACAATAGGTGACCTTTAATAAAATCAAAACTTTCTTCTGTTCCTCTCCTCAGACGATGATGCTGGACAAATGGAAAGTGTGTCAGAAGACGGAGGGCGAGAGCAACTTCCTCGTCTTCTCTCAGCTGCTGGCAGGAATCAGCACAGAGATGAAGTAAATATTACAAAAAAACTTAACTTAAAGGGGACCTGTTTGACTCTTTTTTAGGGGTACTGTATATCAGTATGTAGTGTCTCTACTTTAAAGAGTCCTCTCCTGCTGATGTTCAGGTGTATATCAGTATGTAGTGTCTCTTCTTTAAAGAGTTCTCTCCTGCTGATGTTCAGGTGTATATCAGTATGTAGTGTCTCTACTTTATGTCTCTACTTTAAAGAGTCCTCTCCTGCTGATGTTCAGGTGTATATCAGTATGTAGTGTCTCTACTTTAAAGAGTCCTCTCCTGCTGATGTTCAGGTGTTATCGTATGTAGTGTCTCTACTTTAAAGAGTCCTCTCCTGCTGATGTTCAGGTGTATATCAGTATTGTAGTGTCTCTACTTTAAAGAGTCCTCTCCTGCTGATGTTCAGGTGTATATCAGTATGTAGTGTCTCTACTTTAAAGAGTCCTCTCCTGCTGATGTTCAGGTGTATATCAGTATGTAGTGTCTCTACTTTAAAGAGTCCTCTCCTGCTGAATGTTCAGGTGTATATCAGTATGTAGTGTCTCTACTTTAAAGAGTCCTCTCCTGCTGATGTTCAGGTGTATATCAGTATGTAGTGTCCTCTACTTAAAGAGTCCTCTCCTGCTGATGTTCAGGTGTATATCAGTATGTAGTGTCTCTACTTTAAAGAGTCCTCTCCTGCTGATGTGCAGGTGTATATCAGTATGTAGTGGTCTCTAGCTTTAACAGAGTCCTCTCCTGCTGATGTTCAGGTGTATATCAGTATGTAGTGTCTCTACTTAAAGAGTCCTCTCCTGCTGATGTTCAGGTGTAATATCAGTATGTAGTGTCTTCTACTTTAAAGAGTCCTCTCCTGCTGATGTTCAGGTGTATATCAGTATGTAGTGTCTCTACTTTAAAGAGTCCTCTCCTGCTGATGTTCAGGTGTATATCAGTATGTAGTGTCTCTACTTTAAAGAGTCCCTCTCCTGCTGATGTTCAGTGTATATCAGTATGTAGTGTCTCTACTTTAAAGAGTCCTCTCCTGCTGATGTTCAGGTGTATATCAGTATGTAGTGTCTCTACTTTAAAGAGTCCTCTCCTGCTGATGTTCAGGTGTATATCAGTATGTAGTGTCTCTACTTTAAAGAGTCCTCTCCTGCTGATGTTCAGGTGTATATCAGTATGTAGTGTCTCTACTTTAAAGAGTCCTCTCCTGCTGATGTGCAGGTGTATATCAGTATGTAGTGTCTCTACTTTAAAGAGTCCTCTCCTGCTGATGTTCAGGTGTATATCAGTATGTAGTGTCTCTACTTTAAAGAGTCTCTCCTGCTGATGTTCAGGTGTATATCAGTATGTAGTGTCTCTACTTTAAAGAGTCCTCTCCTGCTGATGTTCAGGTGTATATCAGTATGTAGTGTCTCTACTTTAAAGAGTCCTCTCCTGCTGATGTTCAGGTGTATATCAGTATGTAGTGTCTCTACTTTAAAGAGTCCTCTCCTGCTGATGTTCAGGTGTATATCAGTATGTAGTGTCTCTACTTAAAGAGTCCTCTCCTGCTGATGTTCAGGTGTATATCAGTATGTAGTGTCTCTACTTTAAAGAGTCCTCTCCTGCTGATGTTCAGGTGTATATCAGTATGTAGTGTCTCTACTTTAAAGAGTCCTCTCCTGCTGATGTTCAGGTGTATATCAGTATGTAGTGTCTCTACTTTAAGAGTCCCTCTCCTGCTGATGTTCAGGTGTATATCAGTATGTAGCGTCTCTACTTTAAAGAGTCCTCTCCTGCTGATGTTCAGGTGTATATCAGTATGTAGTGTCTCTTCTTAATGAGTCCTCTCCTGCTGATGTCAGGTGTATATCAGTATGTAGTGTCTCTACTTTAAAGAGTCCTCTCCTGCTGATGTTCAGGTGTATATCAGTATGTAGAGTCCTCTACTTTAAAGAGTCCTCTCCTGCTGATGTTCAGGTGTATATCAGTATGTAGTGTCTCTACTTAAGAGTCCTCTCCTGCTGATGTTCAGGTGTATATCAGTATGTAGTGTCTCTACTTTAAAGAGTCCTCTCCTGCTGATGTCAGGTGTATATCAGTATGTAGTGTCTCTACTTTAAAGAGTCCTCTCCTGCTGATGTTCAGGTGTATATCAGTATGTAGTGTCTCTACTTTAAAGAGTCCTCTCCTTGCTGATGTTCAGGTGTATATCAGTATGTAGTGTCTCTACTTAAAGAGTCCTCTCCTGCTGATGTTCAGGTGTATATCAGTATGTAGTTGTCTCTACTTTAAAGAGTCCTCTCCTGCTGATGTTCAGGGTGTATATCAGTATGTAGTGTCTCTACTTTAAAGAGTCCTCTCCTGCTGATGTTCAGGTGTATATCAGTATGTAGTGTCTCTACTTTAAAGAGTCCTCTCCTGCTGATGTTCAGGTGTATATCAGTATGTAGTGTCTCTACTTTAAAGAGTCCTCTCTTGCTGATGTGCAGGTGTATATCAGTATGTAGTGTCTCTACTTTAAAGAGTCCTCTCTTGCTGATGTTCAGGTGTATATCAGTATGTAGTGTCTCTACTTTAAAGAGTCCTCTCCTGCTGATGTTCAGGTGTATATCAGTATGTAGTGTCTCTACTTTAAAGAGTCCTCTCCTGCTGATGTTCAGGTGTATATCAGTATGTAGTGTCCTCTACTTTAAAGAGTCCTCTCCTGCTGATGTTCAGGTGTATATCAGTATGTAGTGTCTCTACTTTAAAGAGTCCTCTCCTGCTGATGTTCAGGTGTATATCAGTATGTAGTGTCTCTACTTTAAAGAGTCCTCTCCTGCTGATGTTCAGGTGTATATCAGTATGTAGAGTCTCTACTTTAAAGAGTCCTCTCCTGCTGATGTTCAGGTGTATATCAGTATGTAGTGTCTCTACTTTAAAGAGTCCTCTCCTGCTGATGTTCAGGTGTATATCAGTATGTAGTGTCTCTACTTTAAAGAGTCCTCTCATGCTGATGTTCAGGTGTATATCAGTATGTAGTGTCTCTACTTTAAAGAGTCCTCTCCTGCTGATGTTCAGGTGTATATCAGTATGTAGTGTTTCAACACTTGTTCTGGATGTTTCCCTCTTCAGGACGGAGCTGCAGCTGCACCAGCTTCCTGAGACAAACTCTTTTGGGATCGTTCATCCAACCAAGGTACAGTAAGGCTTTCAGACTCACATTTAGAATCAAAATCTGAGGTATTGAGAGAGGAAATGAGATGTGACTCAGCTCTTCTGTCTGTCTTTGTTTGCTTGTGCATAAAACTATAAAACTTTACACAAAAAACATTCAACAAAACACAACATCATTTGAAAAGTGAATTTAGCAGTGTTTTGCACCGTACACACTTGTATAACGTGCGTGTGTGCGAG